ATTCCCCGATTATGGCACTTTGTGACATCACAATCGTATCTCAAGAGGGACACATTAACACACTCCCTGTTAATACACATCATGCCATTGCCACAAGGAGTGCCATCTCTCACTGCTCCAATATCGATGATCTTCATCCCACTGTGGTAATCAGTTCCCCAGCATTGTTTATTGCCCTTGAAGGTTTGAACTATGGTGGTGTGATCCTCCAAAGAGGGCAAGCTTTCCACATTTTCGCACTGGATACGACCACATAGGATATTGTTAGGTATACATTTGTTATACATTCCATGTATAAGGCCACAGTTGCCAAACCGATCACCTTCAGTATTCATTTCTCTAAAGCAAACTTCTGAAGCAACTATTGCTTTGCTGCCAAAGATTGCTTTGCATTGTCTATCATGAGTATTGCAATTCCCTTTATAACAATATGCACCATCACTGCATGGGGCACCATCTTGCACATAAAAATCTTCAGGACATCTCTCAGAAATTCCATTGCAGTATTCAGGGAAATCACAACTGCTTGTCTTATTTCGGCAGATTGTTCCAGTAGCTTGATACTGGCACTTGGCACAACATTGTCCAAAAGCACAAGTGGCCCCTAAACGTAATGTACAGTTAGATTGACAACATGGATCCAACTTGCATTCACCTTTGGTACCACAGTCACATTGCTCTCCATTATCTACTACTTTGTTGCCACAGAATTTGAATTTAAATATTTTATTAGGGTCTGGTGGAATTAACAAACAGTTCAAATTTCTTTGACTGAAGTACTCTATATAACTGCAGTTGCTAAACTGATCGGTTAGTACTTGTGTATGGGCCATAATGCATTTTGCTCTATCACATAGACAGTATTTTGTATCATGTTGCATGCCAAGATTATGTCCTAGTTCATGGATAAATGTGTTAGAAATGCGGTACAAATTGGAAGTAACATATGATTCAACAGCTGATCCCTTGTTATCATCACAAATCGTTCCTAAGTATGCTAATCCTACTTCGCGACCAAAATTCTTAAATATAAATAAGTGACCAGCATCATTTGGTAGACGAGCAAGTAATGAGTCTCTTCTCCAATTAGTGAATTCTTCAAGTGTTTCACCGATGTCATCATGAATTGATATAAGATTTCTTTCGGACCATATTTCTAGTCCAGCAATAGACAAACGAACAGAAAGAGGCTCATACAGTACATTTGCAATGTAGAAGATATCCAAAATATTTATAACAGTAAGAGTTTCATTTCTGCCAAATTTCAAAAATCGTTCATGATCAATCACAATAGCAATCTCTGCATACCTCTCGTGTGACCACCAGTTTCCTTTAGATATAATTTTGTTTGGTTTCTTGTCAGGATTTTGGATCATGGCTTCTTGATGTCTTTGCTCTTCCTGTGTTAGGCCGCACGTCATTGGAATGACGCCCACCTTTTCTTCTAATCGAAAGACTACATGTTGAAATGTAGTGGATTCTGGAAGTGGCTCTATTTCATAAATCTTATTTTTAAATTGCAGTAGCCCCCTGAGTCCTCCAGAGCAAGTGCTGATGATGGCCAGAGAGAAGGGCTCACCCTCTAGTACTCCACTGTAGTAACAGTCATCCCTGAAGAATGGATAATCTACCTGGAGTTCCCCATCCTTACTGTAAGTGAAGATGGGCAGGTGCTTGGGGATTAAGCCTCTTTTCTGCCTAAGGTGCATTACGAGATTCCTCCCATCAATTTGAAACACATAGGTCATATTCTTGGATTTCTGATGTCCAGATTTGAAGGTTAATGACTTTGGGATGGTTATTTCATAAGAAGCATAAATAAAGCCCCAAGGAGGTTTCTGAGAAGCAGTATCAGTCAGGAAATGTATCAAAAATGTCACCAAGAGGTAGGGAAGATGAATATTCATTTTCTCTGGCAAAGAAAGGAATCCCTTAAAAATACAAAATACATTTTCTGACATTTCATTTCAGAGAAGGAAGGCCCCAGCAACTGAGGAGAATCTAGGAACAAATTTGTAAGGCTGTAAACAAAATGTCCACCCCAAAGACGAGGAGGATTCTATCCCTGGCAACTGTAAATGGGGTTTCCTTTGGAATGTGGGTGGAGCTTGGGGATCAAAAATGGAATAGAATGGCAGTCCTAGTCAGGCTTCTTTATCAACAGAATTTGCTCTCTAATTCTGGGATTATTTTTTTTTTTTTAGGGAGGGGGTGACTTGGGTTGCTAGCACTTCCTACAGATGGCCTTTTGTAGTAAATGTTTGCTTTTCTCTGTGAGTGTAGACTTGTTCCCTGGATTATTTCTATTCCTCTTTGGACTGATTTGAACAACTTTTTAGATAAGTCATTTGAACATTTTGATTCCTCTCTCCATGAGCTGATGAAGTAAAAGGCTTTTAAAAGGGTGCACAACTATGTATTAATTATTAAGTACTTTGGCATTTCTCATTTGGAAGGGTTTACAAATTATTGTTAGAACCGGTTTTCACCTAAATTAGATAAAACCTCTAAGGAGGGATGGGTTGTAGGGAAATACTGCACAAATATTCTGAATTAACAAAAAGGAGTTTTCTTTCTTTCCCTTTTGAGACCTGGATTTTAAAAAGACCACCTTTATCCCCTAGATGAGTGTTTCTCAATCTTAGCAACTTTAAGATGTGTGGATTTCAACTCCCAGAATTCCCCAACCAGCATACTAGCAGAGAAATCTGAAGTCATCTGGAGCTGGGAATTGAACTCCACACTTCTTGAAGTTGCTAAGATTGAGAAATGCTGCTGTAGCTAGTGGGGTGGGCAGGTTGAAAAGATACCCTCTTAACTTACCCAGGCATGTGCAGACTTATTTCCATTGCTTGCTCATGTGCACCATTCCATATGTACTCTCATGTTTAGATAAGGATGTTGATTCCGTGACTGGAAATCAGCTGTCAATGTTGTGATGTCCGAAAGGAGTGAAATTAACAAATGGGGAAGGATGAGTTGAAGGATGGCCTGTCCTGTTCCTTCATCAGATGTTAAGGAATCTTAACTGTAGAAATGGCTTTTAGATATGATATTTTAATATTTTAGATAATATTCACTTGGAGTCCCTGATACATAAGCCAGACATTTTGGTACTTGTTTTATTATTTCTTCCCAAGGTGCAATGGCTCATCGGTTAAAGATGCTGAGCTCATCAGCTGGAAAGCTGGCAGCCCAGGTTCGAGACCCGAACTTTGTGTGATGGGTGAGTTCCTGTTAGTTGTCCCAGCTCCTTCGATCTAGCAGTTTGAAAGCATGCAAATGCAAATAGATACTGTAAATACATTCCACTTCTGTGTGAAGGTAACAGCATTCCATGAGCCTCAGCATATAGTCATGCTGACATTATGACCACAAAAATGTCCTTATCTAGACATGTTTTGGATGTGATGCCCTGTTTCTCCACAATTTAAAAATGCACCAGTAGAGCAAAGGTAGCTAAGGACTGGCAATTAAACTGAGTAGTATTGGGATCTTGGTCACCAGAGAGTCAATATGTGGCTTTTTAAAGAAGAAAAACCACAAGCTATGAGTTACATAGCAATGGATCAAGGAAGGAACAGATCTTTGTGCAGGAACATCCGCTGCATTCAGAGCTGATTCACTGGTGGGTTTTCTTCTTTGTTAGTAGTGCAGCTTTCTGATGAACCTAAGCACAACTGGTCAGCTTTGGAAGCAAAAGGGAGGGTTGTCCAGTTATGATTGCAATTAAAGTGCAAAAGGGAGAGGGATTGTTTGTGTGGTGCATTTGAGTATTTTTCTGTTTCAGAAAAAGAGGCATCGAGACGAAGCAACAAGTTCCAACAGTTCTCCTTTATTGCAAACACCAACAGAACCGATTTTAAAATGTTGCGGCCCCCTTTTATAGCCCCCCTGCACAATACCTTGCTGGCCAATCATTTCAAAGGATGTTTTCCCGCCGTGCGCGTGCGCGCAAGGCTGGGAGCAGCCTTTCTTGTCCCGGGCTTCCACATGGTCTGCTTGGGACAATCGCTGCAGCCTGCGCCTGCCGGCCCAGGATATAACAAGTATGTTTCTGGAATAACTTATCTGGGACAAGTGTCTTATAGGTGTTCTGAGAAGGAAAGAAAAAGGAAGGAAGAAGCAATATGGTTCCATTTCTTTTTTGAGTTACCATTATAAATAGACTGGTTCTTCCTTCTGGGTGAGGGCCAGAGGAGGAGTTGGTGGTAGATGAATGAAGGGCTTCTCTACCAGATGAACAGCAGCAGAGGAGGGAGTCTTTGAGACTTTGTTTATATGGATGTGTGGTTCTCTCTGCCTTTCTCTGTCTCTCTGTCTCTGCCTCTTTCTCTCTGTATGTTTGTGGGTGTGGGTGTGTGGGTGTGTTTTGCAGTGTGTGAGGAAATGGTAGCTGGGTACACTGATGACACTGAGAGCTAATGTTTCCAGTGGGGTGAAAACCTAAACAACCCTTTATTTAAAACAGATCAATCAAAGTAGACTGAATAATACAGACGACCATGCTAGAGATGTCTTTCTCCCATTGTCACTGAGTGGCTTCAAAATATTGAATGTCCATAATAATTCAATAATTGTACCAGGGCAGAGTTAGAAAAGGGTCGGAGCGCAGTGCTCTGATGACAACCCAAATTATCTATAAACAACAAGTCTCCTGATCTTTCTTTGATATCCAATGTACTATCAATATAGCTGGCTATTGCTTGAGGTATCTGCAGTCCACATGCTCCATTTTCAAGGCTATCCTGGAGAGTTATTTTTCTTTACAAATGAGAGAATTCCTCAACTCAATGAACAATACCTGACATAGATTGGAGGGTTTCTTCCCATTCAAAGAGGCCAATTTTTTCAAAAAGAAATATGTCTGGGAGACATTTTTAAAACATTGAAATTTCAAATTTCTTTGTTTTTCAAATTGACTATTAATTCCTGAGCTTATACTGGATGTGTTGTGCATTCTTAGCAAGGGTGAATTACACTGCTGTTCCTTCATCTTTTTATTTCATAGCATGGACTCTTCCCTGAAATTTTCCATATTGGTTTCTCAATCCATCCTTGTACCACACAACCAGGCAAGTACAAACAGTTGTGAAACAAAATGCACACAGTATTCCAGCTACAGCTGAGGTTTTCATATTAGTGTTAGACTGTACCGTAACTGGAGGTGGCCCACTGTCTATGCTACCTCCATAGCCTGTATTGGTACAGTCTGGAGGGGCCCATCCAACATCACAGTGACAGTGTTCGAGAGTGTTACATACTCCCTGATTGTGGCACATTATGTGATTACAGTCGGATTTCAGAATGGACACATTGAGACAACTACCCTCAATACACATCATGTTATTGCCACAAGGAACACCATCTCTCACTGCTCCAATATCATTCACCTTCATCCCAGGGTGGTAGTCAGTGCCCCAGCATTGATTCATTCCGGTGGAAGTATGAATTATTGTACTGTGATCCTCCAAAGAAGGCATTTGTATATTTTTACACTGGATACGGCCACACAGGATATCCCCAGGATTACATTTCTTGTAAATTCCATGTTTAAGCCCACAGTTGCCAAAGCGATCACCCCTATTATTCACTTGTCTGAAACATATTTCAGAAGCAATTGCTGCTCTCCTACCGAATATCATTTTGCACTGCATATCATGAGTTGTGCAGTTCCCGTGATAGCAATATACGCCTTCATGGCACATGGCACCATCTTGCACATGCACATCTTCTGGACAGTGCTCTGAAGTCCCATTACAATATTCAGGAAGATCACAACTACTAATCTTCTCTCTGCAAATAGTTCCTTTTTGACGATATTGACAGTTAGCACAGCACAGACCAAAGGCACAAACAGCAGCAGGACGAAACCTACAATTAGCTTGACAGCAGGGATCTGACCTGCACTGTGATTCTGACCCACAGTCACACTGCTCTCCCTTTTCCACTATTTTGTTACCACAGGATTCAAATTTAAAAGTTGTGTCAGTGTCTGGTGGGACAAATAAACAGTAAGTGTTTCTATAGGGGAAATAATCCTTATAACTGCAGTTACTAAATTTATCAGTCTCTGCTGCATATGGTACCATAATGCAATTAAGCTTTCCACAATGACAAAATTGATCATCATGTTTCATTCCAAGAATGTGTCCCTGTTCATGGGCAAATAAGACAGAAATAAAAAACAAACTGAAAGTTCTATAGGATTCAATGGCACTTGCCCAGTAACTGCTACATATACTTCCTACATATGCAAGTCCTATGGTTGACCCAAAATTCATGTATGCAAATAAGTGACCAACATCATTTTTTAAAATCTTAAGTAGATGGTTTCTTCTCCATTCATTAAATAATAAAAGTGTGTTATCTGCTATAGGGGTAATGTCTATGAGGTTGTTTTGTGACCATATGATTAATCCTGCTATTGACAAATGAACAGAAAGAGAATCATAGAATGAATTTGCAGTGTGGACAATATCTAGAACTTGCATAGTAATAAAAGATTCATTCCTGTGAAATTGCAAATATAGTTCATGATCAATCACAATTGCCACTTTAACATATCTCGTATGTGGCCACCAGGATTTTCCCAAAATATCTTTGTTTGCAAGATTCTCTGTTTCAGGAGTTATGTCCCCTTGATGGCTCTGCTCTTCCTGTCCTACCCCACAAGGCATTCGGACAGCCCCTTCCTCTACTTCTAACCGAAACACCACGTGTTGAAAGGTAGAAGATTGCTGGACTGGTTCAATTTCATAGGTCTTATTTTCGATTTGGAAGAGACCTCTCAGTCCTCCTGAACATGTGCTGAGGGTGACTTGAGAAGAGGACTTTCTCTGTATAAATCCATGGTAGAAACAATCATCCTTGATAAAAGGGTGATCCACCTGGAGAATCCCTGCTGTGTCATAGGTGAAGACAGGAAAGACCCTAGGGATGAAGTTCCTTCTTTGCCTGAGGAATACCACATGGGGCTTCCCTTCAATCTGCAGGAGGTAGCTCAAATCCTGGGGTTCCTCTTGCCCATACTTGGGAGACAGCTTCTTTGGGATGATCACATCGTAAGAGGCATATCGGAAGCCCTGAGGAGGTGCCTGTCTAGAAGCTGCATTTTGGATGATCTTAAGCAATATCACAATCAACCATGACAGACAGGTATTCATTTTTGTAGAACGAGGGTAGAAACCGACCCTATTCTAGAAAAGGAATCTCAATAGGGGTGGAGACAGGGGAGTTCATAGTGTGTGTGAAGGAGAGAGAGATGTTGGGACAGACTTAAACATTTGAAAATGAGGATTCTGTACATAGCAACAGAAGATGCAATAGATTTTGGAATGTAGGCGGAGTTTAAAGAATCAAATATAGAATACACAGAAAAACAATGTTTATGAAATGTTATTATGTTGACTCATTATTTAATTACTTCAATTTCCCAGGATAACTCCATATTGCTTTACTACTGTTCATACCCTACTGCTTTCTAGTTTACCTAATAGCAATGAACTGTATATTTTCTTTAGTTGGTTCAAGGTGTGAATTGAAATGTATTAGTTTATCATTTCAGTGGGAAGTGAAGTAACCTAACACATCATGAGAGGTCTGGTTTGTAAGCTCAAAACCAATAAGATGCCTAACCTTCTAATTTCTAATTCAAGGTTAATTGATTTTCTCTCCTTTCACCCAGGTAATATTTAGTCATTAAAAACAAAATCTGAGGATTTTTGCATAACAGAAGGCCCAGCCTTAGCCTTAAGAATTTTCACTGTTATTAAATTGAGACAGAGACAGAGACAGAAACAAAAACAGAGAAGAATGTCAGTTTAGATAATGCCAGATCTTTAAATTGAGGAGGGGATTATAGTACAACCTACCAGGAAAAACATCAAATGTATAACTTATATGTACTAGTTAGGTCTGAAGATCTGCTATGAAAGATCATGAACCACTGAAATATCATTCAATTTTTCAGAACTTTACACAGAAGCTAGGCATAAAGGGAGAAACTTGAATTTATTGCCTAATTTTACTGGTGTTTTAGAAATAGGAAGGGATGTTAGGAATGACTGTCATTTACAGGCGGCTGTTACGTATAAGCTGGGTTGACAAGATCAGAAATGAGGAGGTGATAAGCCACCTGGGGAAGCCAAGGGAAATCATCAAAACAATTAAAAAAATGAAAATTAGAATATTTCGGATATGTGATGTGAAACCCAGAAAAATACAGCATTCTCCATTTAATCCTCCAGGGAAAGATTGAAGGCAAACGAGGTCCAGGCAGAAGAAGAACATCATGGCTTCAAAATCTAAGGGACTGGTTTGGACAAAACTCAGCAGCACTTTTTTGTGCGGCTGCTGATAAAAACAGGATCACCAAAATGATCGCCAACGTCCGATAACGGATATGGCACAAGAAGAAGAAGTCAGTAACCAAGAAAATATTTGGGGATGGAAATTGTATGGTAGCTACAGAAAATAATTCCTATACTTGAAATACTTTTGTTTTCCAGGCGTTTTTCCCTAAAGCTTGTACTTGATGAAATTTACAAGCATTGTGGGGACAAAATGTATTAAAGACTATAAGCTTGCACTCTTAGCACAAAAACTCCAGTTTAAAGGCTGATCAGACTGAACACTTTTTCATTTTCAAAAGGATAGAGCAAGATACAGAAAAATGGCAAAAGTATGTATCATTTGCACATGTGCCGTGTGAAAAAAATAATATTTTTAACCTACTTGAAACATCAACAAGAAGAATTGTAGTGTTCAGTGAAGTCTCCATTGGATACTACAGATTCTATGTATCTCATGTTGAGTGGGGTCAAAAGCCTACTAAAAATAAATAATAAAAATGAATGTTTTGGTCTCTTTGCTTTCTTTTTAACTTTTTTATAATCAACTCTTTCCAATGATCTGTAAATGTTTTATTTCTGTGTGCCTGTTGATGGCTGATTTGTCTGAATACCAAATTTCCAAGAATTCCC